TCCTTTTCTTTTCGTTTTTCAATATCATACTTTGTTGCCCCAATTGTCTCCTTTTGATTGATCGTATTTTTTAATTTTTCACTTCATTATGTCTTTTGAATATTCATTATTGGCTTAGTTTTCTCTTGTTTTGGTATTTGAACTTTTGACATTAATCACTTGAAAAGGGATGAGTCGATGAACAATGCCTAACATGAAGGCTTAAATGGTTGGATAGGGGATTAAATAAAAGGAGTTAGAATGAATAAGGTAAATCAAACAACCAATAGATGGACTCCCATCATCTCTTGATTGTATGCATGATTCATGAAAAGAATTACATGTCAAACTTGTTCCCAGTTGGCTACTTGAGGGAGAATTATTGCTCTTGAAAATGCTAGGGCTCCTTAGTGAGTTTGTGCCTAATTTTTCTCTCATTTTTTCTTTCTTCACTCTCTTTATCTACTTTTTGGTTTCTTTTCATTCTTTTCTTTTTCTTTTGCCCTTTGATCTATGCATCCTTGGTGATTTGTAGAGTTTATTAAAAGAAATGTTTTGATGAAAGCTCAAATGGGCTGACTATTATCTAAATGAATGATAAGGGACCAGGGTAAAAAGATCATTTGAAGATGGACTCCAGACTGACCATACATTATTTATGAAAGGGTAAAATACAAAAACCTCCCCTGAAATTTCTGACAATCATAAAAACCTCCCCTATAGTTTCATTTTAACAAAAACCTCCCCTTTACTTTTTAAAAAATTAACATATACCTCCCTTCCATCAATGACCAAGATGGAAAAACGTGTATAATTACATTTTTACCCTTGGGCATCATCATATCAATTTGCAAAATTCTATATTCCACCATTCATTTTTCTAGCGACTGTACTTCACCAGAGACAATCGTTTATCACCGTTCTTCACCGAAGACTATTATTCTGTTCATTCTTTGATAAACCAAACCATTTTTCATTCTTTGAGAATCCAGAACTTTCTTCATCGAAGACTATCACCGTTTTTCATCGAAGACTATTTTGTTGTTCATTCTCTGAGAATACAGGTGGTTCTTCACCAAAGACCTCCATTCTTTCTCTATTCTTCACGGGAGACTATTGTGCTTTATACAACCACACTAATACCACCATTTTGGGAATAGGCGGGTGAGGACGAAACCCAATACCGCGTGCTCTCCCAATAGTAATGACTCTGGATGAGAGAGAGAGAGATGTAGGCACTAGAAAGAGGGGGAAAAAACCAAGTGCCCCGTCGTTTCCTAGTTGCAAAACCAGTATTAGATTCGGAGCTTTTGGGTTCACTATCTAACCACACCATTAGCTTTGGATTTGGTTTGGACCTACATTTTACCATCTTAATAATTTATTCCCAACAATGCCCCTGCCCTTACCGATAATATGCAATGCATCTCTTTCTATAGGTCAACTATTTCACACAACTCCGAGGGTTTTTGTTTATTCTTCTCACCTTATAAGGAATTGGTCTATCCGTTCACTGACGTTGTTCTAAAAGAGATCATTAGATTTTGCTTTTCAGTCAACAATGGCTATTTTTTGAGTAGTAATGGACGTAATGTCGCGGCGAACCACATCTTCCTTGAATCCAAATGCTCCATTGTTCATTCCTTGGTTTCGTGATTACTAGCTCTTGGAGTGCTTCCAAGAGCCTTCCCCACACTGGTACCACCGGAGACCTCCTTGGTTTTCGCTCAGTATGCACTCATCGTTCTCAACATGGCTTCAATGAACCAGCGTCTTTCTCTGTCATTAGATTCTGGTGCGGATTTCGACAACAACACTGGGGGAGTAGACGAACTTCAACATAATGATCTCTCTGACACCATCTTCAAATCATATCTACAAATCACTGGCCAATCATCACCTGATCTCTCCAAGATCCAAACGTTCCTTACCTCGTTCCGATGCATATGCCTCGAGAGAATCCAAACCTTTGATCCTACCTGGTCCTGCATCAATGGCAGTTTCATTGTCTTCGGCCTCCTTTGTATCCAAAGTTGGGCTCACCAAACGTCCAATATCATCGTTGAACAAGCTGTCACTCGCCTCTTCTGGGAACTCTTCCCTTTACCCCACTCTCTACAACTATTCTCAATCCTCAAACTTGAACTCTCTGCAACTATCCTCAATCATCAATCTGGATAGTTGTAGAGAACCCACCTAACCAAAATTCTTGGCTCAGTCTTCCTAAATTCATTCCCATAAGTTTCTCCTCTTCGGAGTATAAAATGTTGATAGGGGTATTTTAGTGAAAATCATATACACATTATTTCATAAAGGGTAAAATAGGTATTTTGAAAAAAAAGTCATCAATTTAATGTTTTCCGTTTTAGTCATTAACAAAAGAGAAATTTCTGTCAATTTTTTTCAAAAATAAATGGGAGGTTTTTGCTAAAATGAAACTATAGGGGAGGTTTTTATGATTGTCAGAAACTTCATGAGAGAAATTTGTATTTTACCCTTTATGAAAAGAGGAGAAGAAAAGATTGCAACCTTGATAGTGTATGTTGATATCATAGATGACTGGAAAGTTGAAATTCCAAGGCTAAAGGTCCTCTTAGCCACTCAATTTGAGGTGAAGGATCTAGGTCCCTTACAGTATTTCCTTGAAATTGAAGTGGCCCGCTCATAAAAGGGAATCTTCATTTCTCAAAAGAAATACATCTTATATCGGTTATAGGATTCAGGAAAACTTGCGGTTAAACCAACTAATTCTCTCATTGATCCAAATCACAGATTGGGTGATTATTGTGGTGAGATTATCAAGGATGTAAAGCAATTCCAGAGACTTGTGAGAAGGCTCTTGTATTTGTCCATGACCCAGCTAGACATTGCTTATGTCATGGCTGTTCTTAATCAGTACATGCATGCTCCTAAGACTACACACTTAGAGACAGCCGAGAGAATCCTCAAGTATCTAAAGAAGTTTCTAGGAGTTGGTTTACTATTCCAGAAGAATGGCCATTTGAAGGATGATGTATATACAGATGTTGACTGGACCAGATCAGTTGATGACAGAATGTCCACTAGTGGGTATTGCACTTTTGTGGAAAGAAACCTTGTCACATGGAAAAGCAAGAAACAAAGTGTTATGGTTAGGTCTAGTGCTGAAGCTAAGTGTAGAGCAATGCCCTATGGAGTGGCTGAATCTATGTAGATAAAGAATCTGTTGAGCGAGTTGGGTTTTCCAATTGATAGCCCCATGTCATTGTATTGCGATAACAAGGTTGCCATCAACATTGCAGCTAATCTAGTTCTTCATGATAGAACTAAACATATTGAGGTTAGCAAACACTTTATTAGAGAGAAAATTATTAATGAGAAGTGAGTACTCCATATGTTAGTTCTAAGGAGCAACTTGCAAATATATTTATAAAGGACTTGCATCATTTGCAATACAATGACTTATAATGACAAATTGRGCATGATTAATATCTATATCCCAACTAGAGGGTGAGTGTTGAATCTGTTAATTTTCTTTATTTTCGCCCTAATATAAATACCAAAAAGCTAACACCGCCGGCTACTGATTTTAACTCCAAATCTTTTCTTCTCTTCTCTCTTCACTGTTCTGAATTATTACTATGTTTTTACCAAGAAAACACTGATCAAAAAATATAATTACATATGAGGGTTGTCAATTTTGCATATTTACATCCTAGGTCACTACTAAACAAAAACATTTCAATGTTCATTTAATGCATACTCAATCAATAAGCCGCCACCATGACTCTTGATCATTTCATTGTATTAATGACCCCTTCTTTTAATACTTTTCATTAATTAAAACATTTCATCGAATAATTCAAACGTCATGTCAGAATATCTATGACTCTCTTATTGGGGAGAGCTTCTCCATCACCCACCTAACCCAACTTAAAACCTACTCACATCACAACCAAAGTGCAAATATTTTGTTTACCGACATTAAGATTAAAAAAAAAAAGTAGACCTTTTTTTCAGTGCACTCAGAAATTGCAGGATGAATAATGTGCAAGTACACGAAATTTGACATTGCTACACTTGCGATGGACGACAACCTACGGTGAACATACACAAGTGACCAATGAACATTGAAACAATGACACCAAGTCCTAGTCCATTTGCCTACAATGACTCATGTCAAAGTAACAGTTGTAAGATACGGTATGACATTATATCTCAACATCGCGAGTCGTTGTAATGTCTTGTGATGACCCAACTTTCCACCTACACATCAACTTTATACCTTATGCAGGGGTGGTAAATGAGTTCGATCTCGAGTCCAATTTACAGGCTCGATTAATAAATGAGTCAAGTTCAAATATATATATATATATATATATATGTATATATATATTATAAAATGTTTTTCTTTAAATCAAACTCGAACTTATGAGTTTTTTACTCGAGCCGAACTAGAGCTCTATTCTAGCTGGAATCGAATTCAAGCTCGAGCTCAATATTTTAGCTCGAGCCTAATACAACCTTGGCGAGCTGAGTTCGAGCCTCATACTATTTGGCTCGGCCTCGGCTCAAATCCACCCAACATATAGCTTTATCAACTCTTTAGATGTTATTTAGAGTAATGTCTCCAGTGTATAGCCTCATGCTTACATGCACACTCCAAGAGAAGAGAGATCTTCAATACCAACATGACCGCATAGACACATGAAAAAACCCCAACCCACCTACTAGTTTTAGATCCAACAAATTCGGGACCACCTTCCCAGAGTGAAAAAGTTTTTCTCCTTTCATGAAGCAACTCTATAAATAAGGGATCTCTGAGGATCTCCAGATGAGAGTTCTCTCAAAACCCTGCATAAGCTCTGCTACACTAAAACCCTAGCTTCCTCTCCCCTGGTCTTTGCCCTACAGAAAGCTTCCTTGTCGTCTACCATCTTTCAGGTAGACATCCCCGGTGCCCTACAATCTAGACCTACACCGTCCAAAGCAAGAAAGTTGTAAACATAAAACAAATAACTTTTCTATTAAGTTACATAGAATTGCATGATATCAACTTATCAAATGATCACAAATTCGTCAAGATCACAAACATGTGTGCATAACATACACCGATTCAGAGCTCATGGTATACATTCATAATTAAATTTGATTCTACATTTCCAGCAACCTTACAAAAACTCCTTTTTTTTTGTGCCGTTGGATTCCATCACAGCCTCCAGGCTCCAGCATTGTTTGCCCCTAATAAATTAAATTAAAAGTATGATATACAGACATGTTGTAACTAACAGAAGGGTACTATTACAGCCTCCAGACATGTTGTAATTAATCACAGCCTCCAGGCTCCATCACAGCCTCCAGGCTCCAGCATTGTTTATCCTTGGAATGTAATATCACATTTCAATGTCTTCCAGGTCTGGAAGTGGAAAGCGCAAAATGGCTGCAATTCCGGTAAGTTGTGCTAGTTCTGTTGTTCCACATGACAAAGAAAATGAAGCAAAATAAGATTAGTACTCTTTAGAAACATTTAATTTAGAAGAATGGTTTACATGAGATAACTTCTACTTTTGAGTGTTGAAATTAAAGGGTCCAGTTTACCTAATTGAAGAATGTTCTAAATAAACGATAGAAACAATGAAGAGTAATGCAAAGGTTGCAAGAAAACCATCCTTACGTTCTCCAGATACGTGCATAGAAGAGAATATATATGCACTGCCACCTGAATCCTTGACTGAGTCAACCAAATTTACATACTTTTGTCTCATTGCTATGTCAGAATTTCTGGAAGGGAAGACACATACACACACACAAAAAATTAAAAAAAAAAAAAAAACATTAGAGGAAACAAGCTAGAAACTGGCATGGCATAATAGATTTAAACATAATCTCCTAAATTGAAATAAGTAAACCAGCCAATATCAACATACAATAGAAATACAAGTTTGGAGTGTTGGTGGGGGAAAAGAGTAAAATGAGAAAACTTCCATCAAGAAACCAGAAACCTTCACTGCAATTTTTCATAAAGGTTAAAGGATGAAAATTTCTGATTAAACAAGGCAAGATCTATGGTGCATGAATTGCACTATGAAGAAAAAACATGAACCAGTGATAAAATACATGTCACAGCTGACACCTTTAACGTTGTTAAAGTCTTGATGGTAAGAAAACTTTATGAAACATGAACCGATGTAAAGTAACTACGCCATGTGACATCTTTATCGTAATTGGTTGAAACCTTTATTTAAAATGCAGTAAATATTCCTAAATGCACCATAGTTGGGCTCTATTAAAAACAGTAGTAAAGCAGTCTTGTTGACAGGCTGAAAGCCAGACAATGAAAACCTCCAAATGAGACCTTTAACACCCCCTTCTGAACAAGACAAAAAGAGGTTCAAATGATTTGTGAGATTGGGGGAAGAGATGGAGCCATAAAAGGTTCCAAAGTATTGACATGACGACCATAATTGCTACTCATAGTCTGCCAAAGTAGAAGATTCATCTCTTTAACAATGACAAGCACATTAATACTAAAGAAGAAAAACTAGACACAAATGAACAGTGATGAAGACAATGTAGGAATTCAAAGATTTAATGCAGTATCTGCAAGTGCTTCGTGCACCAACCTGTACAGAAGATTCAGTAACTAAGATTATGTTTGGATAAGCTTTTGCTTCTACGTTTTACAGAGTACAAAAAAACAAAGTATGTTTTGTGCTTTTGTAGTTTGGTAATTATTGTTGTCAAAACATGCTTTTGAGATTAAAAGCATAAATTAATGTTTGGTTACACCATGTTGTTATGCCACTTTGCTACATGTGACAACAAATTCCATGTGTCACATGACCCATAGTTTTGAACCTCAAACTTGGCATGTATTTTGCCATGTGTCACTAATTTGATACATGGCATAGATTTTTCCATATTCACAAATTTGACACACATGGCATATATAAATGGGCATCATGGAATATATCACTAATTATGCCACAGGCATATGTTTTTCCATACTCACAAATTTGTCACGTGGCATACATTGTGCCACATCATCTATTTATGGACATCATGCATATATCTTTCCATATGTCAAAACTTTTGCCGCATGGCATATATTTTGTCATATTCACAAATTCGCCACATGGCATATGTTATGCCAGGTGACATAAATTCCATATTACACATGGCATATATTTATGGGCATCATGACCTATAGTTGTGCCATGTGTTGCAAATCTTACCAATGTGACATATATACATTTGCACCTTATGCATTGTAGTGAAAAACACATTTAGCCCAAATGTGCTTTCGAAGCACAAAGTAGAAAAAATATGATTTTTTGCTTTTTGTTGCACAAGTTTTTCTCCTTTGGGTGTTTTTGCTTTGAAAAACATGGTATCAACTCCAAAGCATATTTTCTGCTCCCGAAGCACAAAAGTACTTTGAAAATGCTTATCCAAGCATAACCTAAATTAAGTACCTGAAGAGATCATCTGTGATTAGAAGTGTTTGAATAGCCATATGCTCATGTGCAACCTCAACATGCTTTGGCCCATAGCATGCTCGAGCTGGATCCTAAACAATAAAATCAAAATTCAAGTCTGAGAACAAAATGTAGTAAAATGCCAAAATAAAATAAAAATGACTATGAATTTAAGATCATAATAAAACCAAAGAACATATCTAACCCAAAAAATAAAATAAATAGAAAATTATTGAATTAAAATAGAGTAAGATGTCATTGTGAAATGAAGATCAAAGCAGGAATGTTTACTACAATGAACGGATTACCATGAAAATTGTGCAAAATGTGTAAGCCCTTTAAATTCAAGCCTAGCAAGAAAACCCCAAGACATGTAATAACAACAACAGGAATAACTCGGCCAAATTTTCCATTCAACCAAGAAAAATTTACTACAGCTCCAAAAGTTTCTTTCTTATCTGTAGTGGACTGTGGAACTTAGCTTTGCTAATGGAACAAATAGGCAAGAATCACCAGCCGGAGAAGCTGGACACCTGAACATGAGCACTATGAGGTCAACTGTAAGCCATGAATGAGGAGCATCCATAGCCCATTGACAGACTCATCTGGGGGCCCAACAAAGGGTCAGTGATGAGTGAAACTGCACTGCTTCCCTAAAGAATTAGAAAAGCTAGCTTTTTTATTTTTAGTTTGATCATTAGCTAAGCTAGCTAAATATGTATAGTTCGTGGATCTGAGGTAATATTAAAAACCATTGAACCATGATTCACATGATAGATTTGAATACAGAAACCTCAAACCAAAAACATTTTTCAAACTCTTTATGATTGCTCAGAATATCAATCATGCATATTTTAAGAAAAAAAATATATCTGAAGGGTAGAAACTGACATTTGAGAGCATGCTGAAGAAATCCTTGAGAACCCGCACCTGACATATAACATAAAAAATAATATTTACTTAAAGAATATTAATTTGCAAGGGAAAAGAACTAATATGGCAAGGACAAAATTAACCTCCTTGTAAAGATCCTCAGGTTTAAAAAAATCTAGACAAGGAAAACTATCAAAAGGAAAATACTGTATAAGACAAGTACAGAAACTTAGCTGATACTTTAGCTAAACAAGGGGTCAATAGGAAACATCTCTTTTGGACTGTAGTATAATGTATACAGTTGGAGAGATAGGTGAATCCAGCCTATACCATGGCCTTCATAAACAAGGGGTCAATAGGAAACATTCTCTTTTAACCTTCATAAAATTTCACAGTTCCCAATCAGGATAAAAGAAAAAAAAAAGAAAAAACTAATCATATTGGTTTTTCTTTACTACCTCTTGTGCTGCTTTCGTGTCTTTTATCAAATTCATGACATTTGGTGCATCCAGAACCTCCCTCAAGCTATGTCTGTACCAAAAGGTGATATTGAACGTCAATAAAAGTTTGTCCTGAATTATATGAGATCAAGATAAATAAAAAAATCAAGGACTGTAGCTTTGAAGAGATTATCAAGAAAAAGTTAAAACCTATTATTGTGAATTTGGGGTTAGATCATTGATTTTAAAAAATAATCAAGGACTGTGGCTTCAAAATTCAGTATGTCTAAATGCAAACAATTCTTTATGGTTGTGATAGAAACCAAAATAAATGAAAGAAGATGGTGTAAACCATAGTTGTTGAGGTGCCTAAGTGAGCCTAGGCAACCAAGGGGGCACCCAGGTGCCTAGGTGATGGAATCTGAAAGTATAAAATCAAAAGATCCCTAGCCCTCTTAAGCAACTTTATTAGTTTTTTATACTAACCAACATACCTGTATGCTGCCTATTAGCAATAAAATAATACAAATAAGTAACTAAGTATACATTTCATATAAAAACATAAAATGCCATCATATATATATCATTTAAATATATTAATTTCAATGCTAAATAACCTGTTTCAGGCCAACAAAAAAGGGCGAATGCAGCAAAACAAAAAGAGAATAAGCCCCTGTTTCGTTCCCAGAAAACATTTATTAAGAAAAGTAAGAAAATAAAAATATAGGAGTAAGAGGACAGCTTTGAACTGTGTTTAAGAGGGCGGAGACCCTGTTTCAGGCCAACAGAAAGGGAGAATGCAGAGAAAAGGAGACAGAAAAATAAAGGGGCAGAACCCTGTTTTCTTCCAAAAAAAAACATTATTAAAAAATAGTGCAAAAATTACAGGAGAAACTTAGAAAGTTGAGAAGAAGGGGGTGGAGCCCCTGTTTCATTCCCAAAAGTATTTAAGAAAAAGTAAGAAAATAAAATACAAGAGTAACAGGACGATTTGGAGGAGGTGGAGGGGGAAGCAGAGCCCCTGTTTCGCCCCAAAAATATTTCCTAWAAAAGGTAAGAAAAAAATATAGGAGCACAGAACAACTCAGACCATTTAAGAAGAAGAAGAAACTTACCTGGAGGTCCTGGACGACTTGGACAGAAACAATGGAAACTTCTCAGTCCTCAATCTTATCTTCTCAGTCTCAGTTCAGAACTCAAACCCAAAGAAACTTGAATTCGGATTTGGTCCTCACAATGCTGTCCTCACACCATCCTCAAAGCCCCTTGCAGCTGTACATTGGGAATATCTCTCCATGAATAAAAACATACAAGTACGGAGATATTCCCAATGCACGGCTGCAAGGGGCTGTGAGGACAGACTGAGGACTATTCTTTGAGGATCAAATCCGAGTTTAAGAAACCTTCGTAGCTTTAATAAAAAAATTTCAACATACAACAGGGTGTATTCTAATAAATAAAGCCAACCAATAGAATGATATAATATATATAGGCTTTCAGAAAATAATGATATAATATGTATATGGGTGAGTGCCTAATATGAAAACCATCTTGGCGTTGGGTGAAGCAACCTTTAAAAATTGCCTAGTCGCCTAGCCATTGCCTTGACATCTATGGTGTAAACAGAGAAGAATATACAAGATTTGACATGGTTTGGCATTTTGTGCCTACAACTATGAAAGGTCCCTGCAAAATTCACTATCTGCATTCAACTGAAGACAGTCCTAGAGAACAACCTAGCTTTTACATCATGAAATTAAGACTTTCAAGGTTCCCTATTCTGTTTAGAACTAAGAGTAAACAAGGTATCTCATGTACCAAAAMTACCTCAATATGRACAAATACAAACAAATTTCATATACCTTTTGGATTTTTCTATTATTTTAGTTTTTAATTCATCCCTTTAATACAAGACACCTTTTATCACTTACATAACCAGTGATTTGTTCACAAGGACTGAAAACTAGAATACCACTTCTTTGGATAATGGATACCAGTCAAGGATTATCATATGTGCATAGAAACTGTTCACTTCCATTTTGCTAGCTATAAGTGGCCATACCTCACTAAGAATGATCAGGGTTACAGAGAAGAAAATGAGAAAAAGATCAAACAGATCATAAACAAACTTTTTTTTTTCTATATTGCATTAGTACACAGTCTCAAGAATTTAACCACTTGCAACAGTGGCCAAAAGGCAACTGTGGAAGGGGACTAGGTAGTACTGATCGGATGGCTCTTGCACTTGACCAGATTGCCCTGGAGACAATTATTATTACATTAGAGAGGGTTGGTTTTTGGCTTTTAAATTGAAGATCATGTTTCTTCTTTGGACTTTTTTCTACTTTTGTGGATCATCAATTATAAGTATCATCTTATTAATGTACAATGGGAATGACCATTTCAGAAAATCAAGGTACAAGTACAACAGCCAAGGCTGACATGTTTAAAATCTATATACATACTATCAACTTGTTACAAATCAACTACCAGCTGAGTCCTCCATATTGGCTGATATGAGTGTCAACCTAATTGGGTAGTTCAGATTTGAAGCCAATGCCTTTGCCTCTCTTAGCAAGAATCTGACAGTTCATGGGCACTGTTAGCCAGTTACCACTTTCCTATCTCCCTCAAGAATCAATTCATTCCAATCCAAGGTGTGCTCTCACCTAGGGCTGTCAACGGGTCGGGTCTGGGTTGGGACATGGTGGCGCCAGTCCTGAACCGATTATTAATTGGGGCAAAATAACAGACCCAGAACCATCCCAGTTAATAGTCAGGTCTATTGGGTCCAGACCCGATTACATTGAAATTTRTATTTATTTAGTTAAATAATAACTTAAAATTTTAAAATTTGATAATATAACCTTAATAAAATGATAGAAAAATACTAATTTATTTTAATTTATTATATTTTAATAAATTAAACATTTTTATTATCTTATATATTATCTATCAAATTTACCATTTCAAACATAAAATATGATAAAATTATAAGAAAATCTTATATATTTAATAAAATAATCAGTTCTGGGTCTGAATCAGTTCAGGACAGGCAAGAACCAGAACCAACCCAATTATTAATCAGGACAAAATCGTGGAACCAGAACTGTTATAATCAGTTCAGTAAGCTTGGGCCTGTCAGGTAGACCCAATCCATTGACAACCCTACTCTCACCTTAAGCCTCAGACAAGAGAAAGGAGTTCAGCCCTCACTTACATACGTTTTTTTTTATTGATACCCTCAATAATGTTTCTTCACCTTCTGGTCCTGGGAAACTTAGTATGATTCTGGCACCATGACCTCTAAATGCTTCACCTACACCTGACTGGTCTGGATTTCTAAGGCAGCTTGATGGAAGACCACTCTAAACCCCTGAAGAATTATTCTAGAAAGAAGACCTTACAAAAGCTCCTGATATGTCATGATAATTGTACTTGCAATTTGCACTGAATTGGACACCAGGGGTATTTTTGTCATTGTACAATTTTCTGTGGGTCCTCTGATGATAGGGTCTGGCTTATCTGGTTATATATTGGTTTATGTTTAAAGTTTCAGAGTCATTGAATAAGTAGTTCGAGAGCTATTAAGTCTTCTTTGAATTGAGGAGGATAGTGGTAATTTAGTAAGCTTCTATTTTTGTTATACACACACACACACGTGGTGTTTTATAAAAGAATTATACAGTTTATTTAAGTTCCTACAGCTTATGCTACCTATGGTGAATGACTCTCATGCCCTAGAGTGATTCTAGAAACCCTAGGAGTGATTCCTAGAATTCTCTTCTTTCTTTCATCTCTTGTCTTCCCTCTTGAGGTTTTGAGCTCAGCCACTAACAGCAATCAAAGACAAAACCCATTCATTCATAGTTCTACATCAGTTGGTATTAGAGCCTAGGGTCCAGGTGGCTCGCTGTCAAGGAAGAGATATGAAAGGAAGATTGAATAAACAAGCTAATGAAGAGCTACTGATTGCACTTTGCAATTGAGTAAACACCTTAGAAGCTCAAGCTAAAGCTCTAACAGAAGGAATAGAAGAAAATACACAAATGACAGCTGAAGATAAAGCCCTCTTATAATGATAATGTAGCCACCTCATAACAGCATAGRGCTCTTGTAAAGCCTGCTCAAGCTCTTTAGCCCCAAATGTACTTTTAATGAGACATATGAGAGATTGGTTGAATAATCCAAATATGAGGTTGTTGACTACAGGGATGAATTACTAATACAATCAAGGTGGAGTACCAGAATTCAAGGTTTAGATTGATCTCCAAGCTTTTCTGATTAGCTTGCTGCCTTAACAGTCCGTTTGGCTGCTGAGAAGCGATGGGATGGGAAGGGATGGGATGAAAAGGGAAAATTTATTTTCTCATTTTGGTATTCAAGTGTTTGATTGATGAGAAGGGAAATTTACAACTATTTCATCTCTTCATCGTAGGCTGCGCCGCTTATATCTCTGCAACTCGGTTCCCAACCAGCAGTGGTGGTTTTTTCGGCAAGAATAGCAATGAAGGTCATGAAAGAAGACGATTTCTCAAGGAGATTTTTCAATTGATCAAGATATCTCTCCTCTTTTTCCTCCTCTCCCTCTTTCTTTTTTTTTTTCTTCTTCTTCTTCATCTTTTTCTTCGCTTGCCTCTGGTCTGCTACTTGAACCAGAGGCAAGCGACTATTTTGAGTGCACCTCCACCGTACCTCTAACGTCATCGACAAGTTGACGACGATTTAACGACACCACTACTATTTCAGTGCACCTCCACCGGACCTCTGACGTCAACGACAATCTGACGACGCTGGTGCTATTTTAGTGCGACGGTTTCRGTGCGCCTCCATCGGACCTCTGACGTCGACGACGATCTGACGACGCCGCTACTATTTCAGTGCTGACGACAAACTGACAACAATCTGACGATGATCTTTTTTTGCGTGTGGTTTCCTTTCTCACTGGGGTCGCACCGTTTTAGTGTGACCCAACGTTCCAAGTTTTGGGTAACCGCGTCTCACTGTTTCTCGTTCCRTCTCACAAAACAAACGAATGAAAATGGGAATCTAAAGAGAATTTTCCCATTTTCTCTTCTCAATTGCACCAAC